CTGGTACTGTAATCGGCCATGATCTTGCTATGAGGCGTGACACACCTGTACATGGATTTAGGAATTAATCCATAATGTAGAAACTTACTCGGGTCAGAAACAATAATCTTCTTAGTGTGGAAAGAAGCTATTGAAGATAGAAGAGCATCCTTCATCACGGGGATTTCGAGGGAATCCATGGCTTTCTTCGTGATGAGCATCCAGAAACGTCCGCAAGAGATCTCGGAGTACCGGGTTGAGGTGTTTAGACTCTGAATGATTTGAGACCAGATTATGGAGCCATAATCTAGGTTGATTCCGTTGTAAAGACCGTAGAGAATGGTGAGAAATCCTTTGCTCGTGGTATCAGAACCACCACAGCGTTCCGCTAAACCCTTGATTAAAAGGGTAAGCAAGCCATTCCACTGAGAAGGAAGACAAGATTTCTTGACCATTGCGATTTTCGTAAGAACATCGGTATAACCCATCTCGTACATCATCGAGAAAAGCTGGGTAGTTGTGACAAAATCCGGTGAGATAACGGAAGAATCAACGGCAAGCCCTAGAAGAGAGCAAAACTTGGTTTTTGAGACGGAGGTTTTCTTGTCATGGATGGTGAAGTAGATACGATCTTTGTGTTTGTCATAACTTGCTGATGTGTAAACTTGAGAAAGCAGGGACATCGGAACTGCTTCCACCTGCGTGAGAGCCAACAACAATGGGGAATATTTCAGAACTTCCACCACATGGCGCATGTACACATCATATAAGAAAGGGGTCATCTCGATAATCATATTCTGATTAGGTTTGATGGAAAGCAAATATGAAGATGCAGTTTGATCGTGCGTAGAAGAAGAAGTCGCCATTGTTGAATCGAAGAAGAAGATGAACAGTGGAAACTTTTTCAGAGAGAGAGGTTACGTGTGTGGTAAATGCCAAAGAACACGATCACCCCTTATTTATACCGTTCACTGGAGAGAGAAAATCGTGATGATTATGGAACCAAAACGTCGCCTGAAAAAGCACGATTGGATGTTATGGTGTATCCCAGGAAAACGTCAGCACACGTGGGTGTGAAACGAATCAACTGCACGCGCCCAAATCATATTTTTTGTACCGTTTGAAATTCCTTGTGCCCTTGTTTGGTTACAACTGAAACGTAAAACCACATACAAAACAGCAATAAGAATGTTGGAAAAATTAATTTTCGTGCATAAGAGTGTGAAAGATAAAGAAATAAATCAAAGGTGTTTGAGATGTGAGTGTTGTCTATGAAGAAGACAGAAGGCGGAAGATTCCGGGCAAGAATCACTTCCTTCAAAGCCAAGAGAGACTTGAAGTGCTTGTGTGGTTTCCCGAGAAATACGATCAATTGTCTGTCAATAAACAATGAAAGGCATTTTGTGATCATAGGCTGTTGGGTGGCTGTCCTCTAACCGAACATCAAGTCTCAACATAAGACTGAGTATAGGCAGAGGTATTCTGTAAGACCAATGTGATCTGTTGAACAGGTAGGTGGGAATTATCTTGTGACAAGCATGGGATAAACAGAAATCTCAAAAAAATAAACTAGACCTCTTTGGGAAGAAACGTCTTAGGAATAGACGATTTCATAAAAGATCACGCAAAAAGAAAATGAGATTTCCAAGTAACATCTTGAGTATATCACTCACCGTCAATTTTTTTAGGTATTGGATGTTGGGTTTCACTTGGAACGTGGTAAGCGAATCCAAGATCATAAACACAGATGTTGTGTAACCATAAGCTTCAGTGGTAAAGACCGAAAGCATCAAGGGTTACTTTAGGGAATTGAAGGTAAATGTAGAATTGAGGAGGTGGTTAAGAGACCGAATGTACCTTCTGGTACAGAAGTGGGACAAAGCAGAGCAACTCATGTCTCAAATGAGAGGAGTAAGGTAGCTCTAGACCGACTGTTGGAAAATAGCTTGATTGGGAAGAAACGATAGGTATTGATCGAATCATTAAGGCTTACTCAAGGTCATAGAGGCTTGTGACAACATACAACAACATGCTTCTAGGGACTTCTAACTAGTCGGAGAGAGAAAGAAAACATACCTGGTGGAACACTATGGAAGGTGATACTAGTATTTACCTGTGCAAAGCTTACACCAACCAGAACTAGCGAGTCGAGGAAATAAGTAAGAAACAGAATAAAAATGAAAATGAAAATATTTTTGTATTTTAAGATTTTTTCTAAAAGAGAAAAATGTTTTTGTGATTTTGAAATATTTATGAAAAAGAAATAAAAACAGAAAGATAAATTGTTGTTGTGATTTTGAAATTTTTCTGTAAAAGAAATAAAAACAGAAAGATAAAATGTTTTTGTGATTTTGAAATTTTTCTGAAAAAGAAATAAAACATAAAGATAAATGTACAACATAAATT